AGTTCATGTAGTTGTCTTAGTAGAGTTTTTTTAACATTAAATATTTTAAATATTGTTCCTTAAAATGTACTTAACCAATTTAACTTTTTTCTTTTTAAAGTTCATTGTGAAGGACTCTGTTGAAGAAAATATGATGAAAATACAAAACAGAAAGAGAGAACTTGCAGCAGGAGCCTTTGGAACTAAAAAAACAAATGCTGATGAGATGAAACAAGCTAAAATTAATGAAATCAGAACTTTAATTGATTTATAGTTTGTGGGACTTTAGTAAGGTCAGTTTGATCAGATACATATGTTTTCGATATGAGAAAAGTACGAAGTTTTAGAAATGAGAGAGAAATAAGTCTTCTGAAAGGGGCATATTGTTTTATATTAGTGAAGAGGTATTACTGACACATAATCTTTTATATATGAACCTATTTTTAATGATACTTCCAGTAGCAATAAGTTCCATTATATACTATGGCTTAAAATAATGTTTTGAGAAAAAAAGTTACTTTGTTATTCAACTTTTCATAGTATCTATGCTGAGTATTTTCATGTATCTTCCACGTACTCAGCTTTTTCATATTTCAAATAAGGACTTTTAACCAAATAGTTATTTTCTATGTTGGACACATTTATTCACCACAGCCTCCGATTTGTGATGCAGTGGATTTACAGTCCTTGTAAACTATATATAAATAAGAGATTGATTTTATTGGACTTTCAAAAACCATATTTACATTCCAGTACCAAACCTTAAATGAGAGACCAAAGTCCAGATTCTCAAGTTACTTGCAGTTTTTTTTTTAAACATCTACATTGAGATATAATTCACATAAGTGACTTGTAATTTTATGTTTATAAAAAAATTAGGGATTATGTTAAAGCACTATTTTCTCCATTTTAGTCAAGTAGTACTACATTCATTGTTTAAATGTAACTTGATGTGTTTCGGGTGTAAATACAGCCTGGGGGTGAGTGAGAGGAATCCAGTTCTACCCAATTTGAATATTTAAATTATGGAATTGCTAAATAGATAATTTCTATAAATAATTTTTATTTATGTAGTTTTTTTGGAAATAACTTTATACATTTTTATAATTCAGAAGACTACTGTATGTGAGAGGCATCATAATCTGGATGGAAGTTGGGCTGGATGACATCCAAAGTCGTTTCCACTTCTAAAGACATCTTAATCTTGAATGTAAAAACTTCTTTGTTAAATGTGTGTTTAGATTCAGAATTTGGTTTTGGAACTTCAGTAACTCATCCTTACATCTCTCTGTAGGATAAGTCATCTTTTTCTTTTTTGTTAATAAGCAGACTCACAGTAGTTGCCATAGAATTCTGGATGACTTTTTGAGTCATACTGAAAATGAATAAGCTAGAAATTTAGCAGTCAGGTTAGGTAGTCAGTGGTTTTATTTCATTAAGGAAAACTTTTTTTTTTTTAATCCAAAGAAAGATTAGTTATTGTAACAAGAGAAGCTTCATGTTTGATGATACAGATTTAGGAATACCTTAGATAAATTTTGATTGAAAGATGAGATTGGAGGCATCGCTGTTACAGGGCACACACCTAAGGTATATGCCAAATCTCTCACCAGCTAAGTCCTCCCCTCCCTGTGATTTATCTCTTGCTCAAAGAGAACAGTGGATTAGTCAGAATCTTTCCAGTCCCTTTTCTCAGCAGTGGCAGAGGGCTGATACTCATCAAGACCAAGACCTTTCTGCAGGGATGAGAGTGGAATAACTTGGGGGTGGTCTGCTAGCATTAGGAGCAGTAGGAAAGTTCTTTACTTGTAGTCCAGCTTACACATACAGAAAAAATCAAGTTGCTCAGAATATGGGTTCTTCATATACCTGTACTCTAGTGAGATTAAGTTATAAACAATTTTGGCAAAAAAACAACACAATCAACTCTTCCTGCTTATGAAGGCAAAGCCTTACAAACTTACTGTTAAGGTGAAGGAAGACAGTTTGCTTCTTTACCCAGACATTTACAGAGTTGTGTTTTTAAACACATTCATAAGTTTGGCAAGTCATTTAAAAAATAGCTTTGTTTTGTACAGTTTTATTAGATATTGTTAAATAAAAAATTTAATTTTTCCTAAGAAAATGTATAAACCACTGGAATGAAAACTTTACATTATGCTATACTGTTAACTACTGTTAATTGTTTTATTATTACATAGAATAATAGCTTTAGAAATATGTTGATGACATTGTATTCCCACTTGTGGTTCAAACTGTATTTTGTGGTTCAAACTGGATTTTGTTTTAAAATGAATAAAAATTTCAAAAGTTTATTACCTTTCTCAGTGCCATAATTTAAATGACTACTTTCTCTTTAAAGAAATCTTTCATTAAATCTCATTTCTGCGAATGTGTTTATACCACATAATTTTTATTGACAGTACATAAAAAGTACTATAACTGAGAATAATTTATTCATATCCCACCTTTATTTTGTTCACTTTAACTGGTTGAATTTCTTGTTCAAGAAATCAGTGTTTATTTAAAATGCCTTGATCTAAAAACATTGGTTCCAATTAATTTCCTCATCTGCAAAAAACAAAAAAAGTTGTGATAACACCTATCTACAGATAGCAATCTGGATCATTGTAAATTCTGCCCTTAAAGTTACAGCTCTAGGATTAACTATTTCCAGTCAAGAAAATAATCCTATATATTAATAGTTTGTTAACCAGTGAGTACCAATGAAACTATCCTCAGGTAGCACTGGGGAGTGTCAAAGACACTGGTATATTTTTTCCTTGTTTATAGTACTTGCTAAAGTTCTATTCATCAGCATGTGGATAAGATTCATTAAAAACATGCGGACAGATTTGATGTTTGGCTCATAGCAACAGAAATAAATGTTTAACCTTTAAAGTTTTTAATGCATTAACTTTAAAATATTTTTAAAAAGTATAATACAACAGGAAAATACAGGTGTAAGAATTAAGATAGAACATTTACTTTATGCATAAATCATAGACCATGATCAAACAGGGAGCTAATCCCCAAAGGCACAGATGTAACTTTTATGTGGGCAAGTTTGTCTTATGACTAAAGATTATTATACCCACCATTGTTCACAAGGGGATAAAAATAAGTATGTATCGATCACCTCCACAAATATATGCCTTGTAATTTGAGTTATTACTATTTTTTTAATACATCTTACTAAGTAATCCTTACTATTTTGGGCTCCCTGGAAAAGATTTTGCAGTATGATTATTGCAGCTTTGAATAGAAAAGTTAATGCTTCACCTTAATTAAGACATACCCTTTAAACATCAGGAAAAGATAAGAATCTGTTAAGCTCAGTTCAGTGACTGGAGCCATAGAACTTGACACCTTTATGTACATTATATGCTTTTTGGTAAATTGGTCATTACTTCTTATTCTAAAAGTTAGTAGCCTTCACTAAGTATTTATTTAAAATTTAAAAATTATGTAAGCTTTACCCTCTTATGCTACTGTGTGAAAATTGGTAATAAAAAGTAGTAAATGCAAAAAATTAACAGTGTATATTGCATGGCGACCAAAGTAAGGCAGTGTTATTTAACTGAAGACTAGGTTTCTGTGCCTGTCAACCAAGAACTCAGAAGCCAAAAAAGCTTCTGACTAGCTAAAATTATTGCGAGGTCTTTGAACCATAGCGCCCGACGCATAGACACACTTAAATAAATCTTTGGTATATGCTTCATTGCACTTAAAGATCATAGCAACTCATTCTTCACCAGTCCAAAATAACTAGTTTATTTTATCAAATCATTTATCATTTAGTGTTTTATAATTTTAGGTAAATCTTCACTTTCTTTAGCTCCTATGGTAGCCAGCCTCTAAGATGGCCCTAAACCATTCTTGCCTCCAGGTATCCATACCCCTGTGTATTCATTTACACCAGTATGAATAGGAATGACCCATGTAAACAACAGGATATCGTAGAAATGAAGGAGGGTGACCTCAAATGCTAGGTCACAATAGCCATGTAGCTTCTGCCCAATTAAACCTTTAAAGTTTCTTTCTATTATAGTCTACTCTTCTGTTTTCTTCAATAGAATCATTTCTGACTACTCATTTTAGTTTTAAAAGGTCATTTTGGATCCTACCCTTCTCTAGCTTCCCTTGCCTTGTAACCTAGAATCATCTGTAAATTTAATAAATAAATGCTTTACAACTCCGTTCTATCATTTTTAAATAATGGATAAAACCACTAGAAGGCATTAGGTCTAGTATTGATTCTGACAGACCTGAAAGATTCCTGAGTATGTTCAGAGACTGACAATGAACCTGTGATGATGTTAAGGTTACAATATTCTAATTATCTGAATACCCACTTAATATGGGGATGCAGTGTAGGTGACAGACTAGATAAACTGATCTCACTTTTTTCCAGTCTATAAGATCCATCACCATCCCTGGAGAACAGTAGATTTAAATCTCTTAGATACTAATTTTTAAAGCATATATCCTAGTATCAAGCATTATACTGGTTTTTAAAACTATGACAAATGCTACAAGTTATGAAAAATTCTCTAAGGGTGTGTGGGGGGAATTCTTAATTTAATTAAACAACCAAGATATAGCAATATGTCTTTATTTTTCATACAGGGTGCCACTGCAGGTAACCATCAGAGAACACACTGCTATTTTCGAATATACAGAACTGAACAAAAGCATTTTAGCATGCTGCCTTACTGTACATAGAAAACTGGTGAACATCTTCAGACACTAAGACTAGGAAATAAAATGAGTTAACGCCATTTGTTGATATGTTTATGAATCATTCAGCAGTATTACTGTAAGCTGCCTTTACCTGAAAGCAGAATTACACTCTGGCAGCCACTAGGCAATTCTACAATACAGGTCTAATGAAGGGTACAACAAGCAAGGGACAGATGCCGCGTCCTGTTCTGAAGGGACAGACTGATTTAGAGCCTGGTTCTGCACGTTTTAAGAGTTGATACAGCCACCGTAATAGCTTAATATTGAGTTTCCCTTACATTGTATGCTGACAATCAGCATAGGTGAGAATTTTTGAAACGGCTAAATAAATCTAGGGTAAAAAAGCAGAACACTGTCCATATAACAGAATTGCTACTTTATAACTTTTGCCCAGTTCTCTTACCTGTTGTCCTGCAAAAACCCCTCATCTGATGAGTTTTAGTGAAAGCCTCTAGCAATTGTAACAGACTTTTCTCAACCCAGCTCTAAGTATCAGAAACAAGTGCCTGTGAAGTGGATGTGTCCAGGGGAAAATGGCAGTGTTTCTACTGGAGGTAAGTGTCAAGTTTCCTCTTGATGTTGTCAAAGGAATCGGCTCCCATATAATCAGCCTGGCCCTGTTCCCACCGTTCCTTCCGTTCTTCTGAGGATACAAAAGGCTGAGCTGTGGCTGGGATCTCCCTGAGGGACAGGTGTGATATGGCTCCTGAGACATCTTCCTAGAAAGGAGAACATAATCAGAGACTCCTTGAGAGCTGAAGATCAGACCATTTTAAAGAATGCAATAAATTGAAGACAGTGAGAAAAGCCAGGATGAATTATCATGCAAAGTAGCAAAAACTGAAAAGTAGTACGTGAAACAAACAAAAAAGACACAAAAATATAAGGGTCATATGGTTTTTTCCTAACAAAATGAAGACTTCTTGACTCAGTGAAAACATTAGGAGAACAAAGTAATTAGGGTTAATGTTTAAGTTCTGCATACCTTTCTACAGAAGCCACAAGAGAAAGCCAGTGTATAGACCAAGTCTGAAAGCTGCAAACAGTTCATTAGAAAGCGTAAGATGGATGGACAAGGGAACACAAGTCTGACGATAAATTCTCAATCTGTGTGGGCTCAGAAAGGTTGAGAACTTAAACAAAATGATACCTCAGAGGCTATGATTCAGAAAGAACCTAACCAGAGAGCCGCAACACATAACACAAGTTATCATTATAAGAAGGAAAGCTAAATGGTCTATATACCAAACTTTTCTGCTTGTTCAAGCTTTCATTTGGATTACCAAGTAGCGTCTGTTCTTCTAGCTTCTGTTAATGTAATTTGCTTAATGTTGAACAACTGTTTCAATTTCCGTCTTCACCTTTCCTTGGGTCATAATTCTCGGCATTGGTGTTGCAGAAGGAACAGCGTAAATGTGCAGCAAGCAGAGCAAACCTACTCTGATTCTTGTTATGTATAGATAGGCAATCAGCTTCAGATGTACCGTAAAAGAATACCAACGCTATCCTTCAAAAAGCTCTAAAGTGAGAAGATACTGGAAATCTTAGCAGGGAAAAAGGAAGGTGAATGAACACAAACAGGTATTGCTTTTAGTAGAGAAAATGGTGAGAAATTTTTTGATTACCTCTTTTTGTTGAGATATATATACATGTATAGTATAAAATATATATATAAATATATTAATAAATATACTGGAACTCCAAGGTGCTTGGGTATAGGATTGTATTAGTATTATAGCTGAGATAACATGAGGAAGTCCTTCCATTGGATTAGTCCTGTCTTTGCCTTCCACTTGCCACAGGAAGGATTTAGGGAGGCACTTCCAGAGTCTTCTGCTTATAAAGTGGGGGGCTGTGGATTTACAATGAAAATCCAAGTATACTGGATCCTAACTTAAAATAGTTCAGCATTTAAAGTGTAACTCTCCCTTCCCCTGCCATAAAAACTACTATTCTTAATTCTGGGCTGTAGAGGAATACCTTAACTAAGGTCCATCTCAAATTTCTCTCAGACCTGGATTTGAGTCTCACTTCTGCTACTTGACTGCTCTGTTAAATAACTAAGACAAGTTATATAAACTTTGTTAAGCCTCAGTTAATTTATTTATAAAAAGGGGATATTAACAATAATAGTACTTACTTGATAGGGTGGTTATAAGGGTTAAATAAGACTAGGTAACTTTTATTAAGCACTTACTGTGCGCCAGGCACTATTCTGAGTACTGTACAGGTATTATCTCATGATCCATAGAAGGCATTTAGAATAAGAATGCATGTTGTAAGTTTCTTCTCCCTTTCTCCTTTCTATATTTTGGTAAATATGCTAATAAGTGAAATGGCTAAAATCTATGCCATAGACAAGAGAAGAATCTCTTACAATATTATAATCTCTCTTAGCCAAATAATTAACTGATTATCTAATTATAACTCACCCATTCAGTTCTACTCTTTATATCTTATTATGTAACATAACAATTCTTTTCCACCCTTTTCCAATTCTTCCATAAGAACAAAACTCAGAGGACCTTTAAAGTCAGAAAAGATGCTAACGAGGGTTGTTATTATAAATGTTAACATGTCTTCTTCTTCCTACAAATAAATTTATTTCTCAAGATCCTACATAATTTATAGAAGTACAAACATAGAAATCAAAATCCTATAAAAGTATTTATTTTATGTTCATATTGTTATTATTTTCACTAATAACATTAATCTAAGCAGGTGGCAAATATAAAATAGTTATATCTAAATGGTTTATGCTTTATTTTTATAGACTATTACTTTTAAGAATAATCTCAGAATCTTTTTCATAGGACAATGGACTAAGAATTATGTAGTTACAATTATTGGGGCATATATACAAAACTCTAAAAACTTTTCTTATGTTCTCAGCTCTAAAGAAATTTGCTATACTATTTTTGCTACTTCTTTGCTGGTAATATTTCTGCACTCTAAGATGATCATTGTTTTCTTTCCACAAAATTTTATTTATCTCTTTGCTTAAAATACTGCTAAATATTCCCCAATCTCTATTGATACAACAAGTTTTTTAAAAGGCAGTGTTAAATTATTTGAAAGAAAAAAACCAAAACCTACCACATTTAGGTATGAGCAGGTGTCTTTGACAAGGCCAAATTGTTGAAGTAGAGGTAAAATATTGGTGGTGAAGATGTCCCACCACAGGTTGAGAAACTCTGGATGAGTCATGGTGGGATCATGGGACTCACTTTTGACACTTTTTGTTTTGGGATCGTATGTATAATTCCATGGTTTGACTCGTCCCAGGAAATGCACGACTTTGGCATTTGCACCAAACCTGCCAAGTGAACACAAGTTGAAACTGTTAGTGGATTCTGAGCATTGACACAGAGATAAGCAGCACTTTGTTCTGTAGCCTTAACAGTGCACTTTCCATCCTGAAGTAGTGGTTGGAAAAGAAACTGCGTTCACTGTGAAATTGTGCCACAAATACTTGTAAAATCATTCAATTCTGTGTTAAATACGTATAAAAATGCAAAAGTAGTACTGGTTCAGCACAACATGGAAGGGCCAATCTATTGTGGATAGGAAAGGCATAACCACTTAGAAAACATTTGCGTTACCTAGTAAAGTTGAAAATGCTTACTTATGGTTCTATTATACAACATAGCAGCTCAGGTCCTAGGCATATATCCTACAGAAACTCTTGCACACATGCAACAGGAGACATAATCAAAATGTTAACAGCAGCAGCATTGTTTGAAATAGTCATAAACTGGAAACGACTCGAATGTCCATATGTTAGAGTATTAGATTTTCAATCAGCAAATGTACACTCCTCCCACCCTCCTCAGGGGGAGTACAGCTTCCATCTGATGCCGGACACAGTCACATGGCCCGAATTGACCAATACAATGTGCTCAGAAGTGACAGTGACAGAAGCACTGCTTATTTCTGTTCACCTTCTCTGAGAAGTTAAAACTTCAGCCAGCGGAAGAACACGTCCTGGGTAGCGTGCTGGTTCCAGAGGAATGACAAACATGCAGCAGATCTAGATCAAACCGAGGGCTTGGCTGCACACCCAGCTGAGACTGTCAGAGCTGTCCCAGCCAACCTACCTGTAAGAAATACTTGCTTATCGTTGAATAGCACTGAAATGTTATAGTTATATATCCAGTCTATCTTTTTTAAAGGCAACATCTGGTATATTCACACCATGGAATACAATAAAAAATGAATGAACCGTAACCATATACATCACGCAGCAAATAGATGAATTTGAAAAACATGTTGAAAAAAGAAATGAATCGAATAGAATTACATACATATGATTCCACTTACTTAAAGGCAAAACCAAAAAAAGGTACTGTTTAAAGATTAGAAAATTGTAATCGATATAAATTTCATGATACTGGTTACCTCTGGGGGAGACGGGAAGCTATGATTGGGATGCAACAGTATGGGGCTTCTAAGGTGCTGGTTATATTCTATTTCTTAACTTGGGTGGTGGGTATTTTGAAACAGTCCACATTTTTTTTGTATATATTCTTTTACATATACACTATGTTTCACAATAAATAGTATCTTAAAAAGAGGGTTAAGTGTGGTCCTGTTCTGGCTGAGAGGAAATCTATGTATATAAAAATAGAAAAAAATAAAGGTGAAAATAACAAGGACCAAAGGGAAAATAAGAACTGTGAGTGCTCAGAAATTCAGAGGCAGGGAAGGCACTAAATGTCAGCTTCAGTGGGGCAGAGGTGCTGAATAATGGGATGTGACTTCGAGTTTGTATAGCAGGTGAGATCTGGGTAGCTGATGATAATACAGGGAATTCCAGGCAGGGGGATGGCAGGTTTAAGGTGAGCACCTGGGTGCTTGACCAAGTATTCCCCAATTAGAGCCGGAGACGAAACTTTGAGTAGGGAAAGAAATGGTCAAATGGGACAGATCCTTGGGTACTGGGCTCAGTGTTAGATTTCAGTAGATTTATCCTATAGGCAACCAAAGGGGCATGATGTACAGATCAAAATAACACAAATTCTATTCATGTATTTTTTCCTATCTTCTAAAGTTTATTTAAAAAAAAATGTTAGTTACCTGTTAAATAGCTATGATTACCTAAGAGTTTATTATGTTTGGGGCTCATATTCTTTAAAGATATGATTGGAAAGAATATTTCTACAAGGTAGATTTTACTAATGTGTTTACTAATGTGTTAACTGAGGCTCAGGAAGACTAAGTGAGATGTCCAGGACCACACAGCTATTAAGCGGCAAAAATGGGATTTGGCACAGTTTTCCCTGTAAGGCCTGAGCTCTTACCATCCTATGGTGCTACCACTCCAAAAATGTGCAAGAAAACTACAGCCTACTTGTAAAATTCCTTCCTCTTAAGCATGATTATTCCACGGTGTGTTTCTTGTGAAAACGAACAGAATATTTGATAACCCCAAGCTTACTCTTTATTTTATACACATAGTATTTTAAATTTTTTTTTTATTTCAGCATATTATGGGGGTACACATGCTTAGGTTACGTATGTTGCCCTTGGCCTCCCTCCCCCCACAAGTCTGAGTTTCAAGTATGTCCATCCTTCGGGTGGTGCGCATTGCACTCTTTGAATCTCATACACATAGTATATTTTATACACACACACATGCGTGTACTCAGTTTAATCCTTTAAAAGGACAGAAATCATAATGCCCAAATTTGTGCACAGGTAGGGGTATCAATTAAATAAGTGTTATGCATAAGGCACTGTGCTCAGTATGTGGCTGCAAGAGGCTTTCATCCAAACAGAGAGATGGGTCATCTACGTTAAAATAAGTAATAACACAAGCAAGGCAACAAGTCAGGGCTATCAGGGCAGTGCTGACATAAGGGCTATAGGAATGCCAAAGCAATGGCTGCAGGTGGGATTTTCAGAGGAGGATTTGTGTAGGATGTGGGGGCCGGGACAATGCCTGGGAAAGATGGGCAAGATTGAGATAACTGGCTTCAACACATGTTCTGATGGTGATGGGGCACGCATCCCAAAGATCTGACACTTGGGTGTGGGGCTGGGCAGGCTCTCCCTCATCCTAGCAATACAAACCCTTAAGCCTAAAACCAAAATAGAGCACACAGGAATGAGTAGGTGTTTCTTCCATCTTCTCAGACATTCACCCCTCCTGACTCAACTTCCCTGCCTGGAGCCATAGAACTTGTTTGTTCCTCCTGCATTAACTGACCGCTAAGCCTCAACCCATGATTTGCCTAAAATAAATGTTATACACAGTCATAACATGGTAGTTATACTAATTAAAATAAATTAGGCCAGGCGCGGTGGCTCACGCCTGTAATCCTAGCTCTCTGGGAGGCTGAGGCGGGCGGATTGTTTGAGCTCAGGAGTTCGAGACCAGCCTGAGCAAGAGCGAGACCCATCTCTATCAAAAATAGAAAGATTTATCCCCTATCAAAAATAGGAAAAATTAGCCAGGCGTGGTGGCACACACCTATAGTCCCAGCTACTCGGGAGGCTGAGGCAAGAGATCACTTAAGCCCAGGAGTTTGAGGCTTCTGTGAGATAGGCTGATGCCACGGCACTCTAGTCTGGACAACAGAGCAAAACTCTGTCTCAAAAAAAAAAAAAAAAAGAAGAGAAAGAAAAAGAGAAATTCATTTGACTACCCTTTTCAAAACCTCCTCTAGGATATTACATACAGAAATTAATTCCGTATCCATTTGTAATGATTTATCTCATGATGGATCTTTAACTTCTATAACGCTATTAACCATAAATCTTTTCAAGGACAAAAATACTTAAATAAAAATAAATTAAAACATGAATATAATATAAACTCTACTTCTTTCTAACCTTTCCTGACAGTTCACAAATGATTATACAGTAGTAATAGCAATAGCTCACATATATTTAGTATTCACATGTGCCAGGCACTGGTTAGCATTTGCATGGTTTACTCAGTTAATCTCCAAAATGACAATGTAAGGAAACTGAAGCATGAAGTAAAATCACTTGTCGAGCATCTCATGGCTGGTGAATGTAGAGGCTGGAACTCTACCCAGGCAGTGTGTTTCCAGAGCCAAGGCCCTTAACCATGACTAGACTGTTATTATAAGACACTCCCAGAATTACAAGGGCATTGTCTGAAAGTGACATTTGTTAATCCATGGATTAACTCCCACATATGGACAGTTAATCTGAGAGTGGAAAAGGTATGCCTAAGCCTTGAGAATACGCCAAGTATAGTGAAGGACCGAGCAACAGAAAGTAACCAACAGGAAAGAAGCAAGCAACTTGGCACTAAAGACTGAAGAAAAGACTGTTCTTAGAAGGATGCAGTTTGCACAAAGAGTAGATAAAAGGGAAGAACAAGAATCAGGAATGAGTGTGCTTCTTAGGAGCAGCAGGTAACCCACAAGGGGACTGTACTGGACAGGATCTAAGGGCCTCCCCAGCTCCTGTGAACTTGGGCTTCAGAGGAAGGGCATGATGGCCCAATCCACCTGCCCACAGAGACTGCCCCGTCCTCCGCTATACGCAGCAATGTCTACCTCAGCCTCTGGCTCTGTACCCCACATGGCTCAGGTCTTCTCCACACTGGTTCAGACGCCTCTGCAACCTTCCTGGTTACTAGCTTCATCTGGTTAGATTCCTCCCCATTGCGGCCGTGGTCTTCCTCTTCAATGTCAATAGGAGCACCATCTGGGAACAATCCACACCCTGCATTTCACTGTGGCTCAAGCTGTGGGCTCCACCTTAATGAATCCATATTTGTTAGTGTCTCTTTAAAGCTAAATCGCTGTTATCCCCTGTGGCCAGGGGAAGGATCCTCCTTCCTCAGAATTACCTATTCTACCCTAACAAGGTGAAAAACTGTATCCACTGGATAGTACTTTCACAGGAAGTCTTAGTTTTACAAAATTCCTTGATAAGCCTTTTGAGGTGAAAACCGAGATCTTAAGGGGTCCTTAACACAGGTAAACCTGCCCCTTTTGCCCGACGACAAGGAATTCCCTGACTGCCAGCAAGACGGCAGGAGGCTGGGGAGGGACAGAGGAGGTGAGCGGGACTGTGAAAGGTGGCACAGCACAGGGTGATTTGTCTCCCGACAGCCACCCAAACTTCTGCAACAAAACTAAACAAATCACAAAACGTAGGATGTGAGTAGGTTTCTCAAAAACTTAATTAGGGCCAGATCATTGAGGGGCAGACCAGAAAGGATTCAGGAGTGTGAAGACAGAGAAAAGCACGAGAAAGGAGGTAAGAAAGATGCTAGGCATGCGGAAATCACACAGTGGCTTCAGATATCCCAGGTTCAGGCTATGGTCAGCCCCA